CTAGCTCTAATTTTCTATTTTATGTGTTTTAATTATGTTTTGGACATCTTGATGTAAAACACTAAGTTAACCATTCATATATGGAGTAATTTAATTTTTTTGAAAAATTATTATTCCACATGTATTTAATTATGGTTTAGAATTAAATTAAGAGTCCATTCAATTTGACGACATTCAAAATAGAGTATCAAGACAATGTTTTGGATATATTAAGTGAACATTAAATGTCATATCGAAATTATCTCTAATCAAGGTCATTTAAAAGTTAGATGACAAATGACCATGCCAGATTAGTGTGTAGTATGATTTATAGCACTGTTTCTTGTGCTACAAGGACAAGAATGTCATAAATCATTTGCACAGGTATTAGTTGGAACTATACCAGATCTACCTATGAGAATACTTTAAGAGATTTAAAATCTTCATAAGTATATTTCTCATTATTGTTATCGGTACCTCTTTCCTCAACCATGAGCATTGTAAGTTTGCTTGTGTGAGCACTAGTCTGTTTTGATGTTGTCAAACGTCTGCCGTAAAAGGAGATTATAAAGGCGACACTCAGGCAACTAGGTCTCTTAGTAATAAAAGCTTATCAATACAAGAATGGGAATGTCTTCCTATTAACAATAGGAAACATGTCTTTGTTGTTTACAAGGCCTCTCAAGGAGCTAGACTGTAAAAATGCATGGCCGTGCTCAGATGGAGTTTAGAAATCATCTTTCTTGACAGTCGAACTTGGATTTTTGAGAAACACTTTTGGACGTAATAACGATGACGATAAATCTTACCATATAGTTCTTGAAGAGACATTAAGTGACATAGGAAAAGGGCAATACACACATTACACACTTGTCTGGAAGGACAAGTGGGCAATTGAAAGGAATGGTGTCCTTCGAACAAGTGTATTATTCCGATAGAGGGTTCGGAATCAATTACAAAGTTAATTATTCCAGTGAAGTCAAGTGATCGGAATGTCGGGCTAGAGGCCGTCTCCGATCAATGAGATTAATTATATTAATCTCATAGCTTTCCTTTGACTGAACCCAATGGGTAACACCCAAGCGTGCAACTAAACTAAGGCGACAAATTAAGCTGAAGGTCTTTATACGTCAAACAAAAGGATACGTACTCCAACGTCGGATTCCGAGCTTAGATCGTCGAAGTCGAACATCGAACGTCGAGTCAAATTCTAGGAACCGACGAGACGTACAAATAAGTTAAACAACAATAAATAAGTCAAAGCGCATAGCCCTAGCCTCGCATTAGTCTAGCCATGCGAGGGCCAGGCTAGCATAGGCTACCACAAGGCAAGCACCTAGCCGAGTGCGTGCCGCAAGCAATGCATTGCCGTAAACATAGCAAGCCGCTTGCGCGGGCTGGCTGGGTGTGCTGGCCGAGTGCGTGGTGCGCCAGCACTGCTAGCAAGGCCCTAGCAGCTAGAAAATCCCACCAGGCCTCGCTAGCAAGTGCTACGTTCAACATCAGCCGCCTGCCTTGCGTGCGGGATTGAGGAGCAGCAGTAGCGTGGGCGGGGTAGTAAGCCTAGCCGAGCACTAGGCTGCCAGCAACGGCTGCCTTGATGCTCAAGGTTGGCGCCAGCTGGCCGCTTGTGATAGGGCTTGGTTTTTGGCTTGGGGAGCAAGGGTCCTCCCTTGTGGTCCTCACCTAACCTTCCCATGTGATTGCCACTTGTTGTTTGATGATTTGTTCTTTGCTTTTAATTTATTTTAGAATTAAATTAAATGCATTTATTTCTCAATTTTGCAAAAGTCCCATATTGATGGAATATCAAAGGGATGGAGATGCTTCTCCTATAAATACCCAAGGATACCTTGGGATTTGAATTGCAAGAGTTGAACTTATAAAAGACATCTCCATTGAGAAAACCTTATAAAGATATCCTTTTGTTAGTAGTGTTAATATTACCCTAGCCGGTAATATTGACCGAAGTTTGGGCGCGTGGGTGGACCTTGTTGGAGGAATTGCATTTGAGGCTCTAGCTCCGTTCGTGGGTTCGTGTTCGTGCTAGGTGAAAAACACGCTTCAAGGGTATGAACGTCTTCTCTCTCCTCTCCTCTCTCTCTCTCTCTCTCTCTCTCTCTCTCTCTTATGTGTTTATTGTTTTATTAATTATATGCAAGTTTTAGTTTAGTCGCTTTAATTTATGCATGTGATCCTTGGGCGGGTTTTGGTTCCGCGCGGCGTTCGCACACCGTAAAACCCAACACTCCATTAGTATGAGGCCTTTAGGAAGGTGCCCAAAAACAAATCCGTGCGGGTTAGGCCCAAAGCGAACAAAATTATACTAATGTAGAGTGGAGTGTGCGTGCGACCCAGCAAGATGCTTGACCCAGGCCCAACAGTTGGAGGCCATGTTTTCATTCCACTACATTCTGGTTACTATCTAGGGTCTTGAATGTTTAAGAGTACTTTTAATTTAGACCAAATTAGATTATATCAGTAATCCTAACCATTTGTGTCACTATGGAAGCACTAATTGTTGTAGAAATATCTTGTTAATAGTTGTATTTTGCTAATAGCGAGGAATAAGGGACATAAATTATTGAATTGTCGAGGGGATATACTTTTTAGTTTAGTAAAATTAATTTCATTTCAGTAAAAATATTTTCAGTTGGATAGAAATAAGTTCAGTTCAATAATAATAATTTTAATTCCGTAAAAATAATTTCAGATCATTAAAAATCAGTAAATTTAAAGATTTATTACAATAGAGATTCGGTAAAAATAATTTAAGTTCGGCAAAAATAATTTCAATTCAGCAAAAATAACGTGAAGGAACATGACTCAAGTCCGATTGTAGAGTTAATAAGCATTACTTACTTATCCTCGTGGCATGTGTTGTAGTGTTGATGAAGTTGAGTTTTTGAACTTTTAATGGATCTGAGACCCATAAGTTAAGTGCTACTCCCTATATCTCGTTATATTTGTCTTATTTTTCTTTTGAGTATGTCGTTGTAAGTTTGTTCTATATTATTTTCAGTTGTAGAAAGTACATCTTTACTCTTACAATTACTATATTAACTAAAATTAAACTAAAAAAATGTAACTACATCTTTATGGAGCAAAATATAAGGGCCGGATGGAATAATTGATAAGCATTTAAGGGATCCACTGCTTATGATTATATCGGGGATGAGATATTTAGCCCTTAATGAATTCAACACAATGGACACATGCACTTGTTGGATTCACCAACTAAAATAATGTGAGGTTAAACATTTATTATGCTCTTAATGAATATATAATCTTGTAGGGATTAATTGCTACTAAGTTGTATGTTTTTAATTCACTTTCATGAACCATATTAACTAAGTGCTATTGTTGAGAAGCACTTGGTGAGGATCCACCTACAAATAGATGTGAAGATCAACCATCTTTTATGAAAACTTAGGCAGTTTCTCTAGAGCTTCTATAATACTTAGAGGCCGTTTGGTTGGGGGTATTCATCAAAGGGAATGGGAATCAAATGCCCTGATTTCCTTTGTTGTTTGTTTGGCATTTTTCCCCATTCCCTTTACCCTCTTCATTACTCCAAATCCTTACAACTTCATTCCCCACCCCCCTAGGTTTTTCCATTCCCTTTCCCTAGCCACCACAACACCACAATACCCACACCATCCACCACCATCCTACCCTACCCCCACCACCCAGCCACCCTCGCCACACCTCCACCTCCCTCGCCGAAGCTCCCCTGTCCCTCGTCGCCCCTCCCCTCCCCCGTAAAACAACATGGTAAATAGGTACGGTGGACAGGGGAGCTCCGACAATGGGCGGCCAGTGGTGGGGGAGTGGCGGCGAGTGGTGTGGTGGCTGGAGAAGGTAGAAAATAGGTATTGTGTGGTGGTAGTGGAAGTGGTGGTTTGTTTCCCTTTGTTATTCAAAACAAACAACATGGTAAATTTGGGGGAGTTTCATTCCATTCTTGTTCTTTCCCTTTGTTCATTCCATTCCGTTACCCTTTACAAACCAAATGACCCCTTAAGGTGGGCACTTGGCTTTATAATGTGCTAAACACTATTCACGGAGTTCATCTTATTGTTAAAACTAAGTATGGTTTACTTTGTGGGGTCTTGATCTAAATCTTATAGTTTCAAAGGTTGGTCCACTCTTTGATAAAGAGTCCATATATAAGGTTTTAAGGTTTGTCTGCTCTCCGGAAGTTTTTGGTTTTAGTTATTTTATGTAACACTAAGGGTGATATACTAGGTCTTGTTTGATTGACAAAGTAAAATGGGGGAAGTGAAAATTCACGATATTTGATAAGTTGTCGCTAGTTGTTTGGCTGATACACAAAAGAAAAAGTAGAGGAAGCGGAAATTCGTGGAAGTTTTAACTACTCACTAAACTTTGGAAGTTCATTACGAAGTCTCCCTAGGTCAATCAAAATTCATGAAAATTTTAAATTCCCACATTACCGACCAAACCAGTTTAGGAAATTCTTAGGAATTTCATTAGGGGAGTAATTCTCATGAATGCAATTTCCTAATGTCAACCAAACGAGTCATAAGCTCCTTTTATCCCTAGTATTTACCTTAGTTATTACTCTATCTATATTTATTCTCTTTCCATAAAATTTAATTAAGTGGGGGGTTGTTGGAGTAAGATTTGAAAATTGTGGAATGTGGCTTTGCCCTGACCACCAGCCGAACCTGCTCTCCTATTGAGCGTGCAACAATGTGTTGGAAAAGCTGGAGATTGTTTGATCGCCCTTGTTCGAGCACACATGCTAGTCGAGCATGAGCCCTTTTTTTATATTGTTTCTCACCCTATGGACCAGGCAATCGAACAATTTTCCCAAATGGACTTTTAAGACATTCTCCTAGCCTTCATGGGGTGCAAACTCATTTGTTGCAAATAAAAAGAAAGGGAAGTAGTATAACTAAATTACAATACCCAATGGTACTATCTAACCAACACATACCACTTCAACGTCTGTTATATACAAAAGAGCAATTTCATTTCAATCCAAGTTCTCAATATAATGAATCACTTTTGCACTTGAAGCTTATTTTCCACAGTATCTTTTAATAATTATGATTCATGGATATCTAAGATCTGGAAGTTCAAATAAGTTACATAAGCTTTAAAAATACAGGAAATAATTCGCTATACGCAGATAAACAACAGATTCAGATATTAATCATGTAATTTCACAACAAACAGTGAATTATATACATCAACCACTTCCACTTTCTGTGTGTTTAGTAAATTAAACCTAGTAAATACTTGCTGATCTGAGTCACAGACTCACAGGTACCTTGAAATTAACTAAACTTGTGATGTTTTTCCTTCTGAAGGCGGTGGGCCTCTGAATGGCGGAGCAGGAGGTCCATAATACTGCGTTGCTGCAGTACGAGCTCGAGCCCTTCCAAGCAGATAAGCAGCTAAAAATATGATTAGGACTAGTAGTAGTAATGGCACAGAAATCACAATGACAAATCCCATCTAAGCCTCGTTTTCTTCTTGCTTATCTGATTCTGCAAGTGCACATTTGAAACACGTACATAGATTTCAGGGGATCAATATGCTTAATTGAATTCATTTGATAATTTATGCTAGTTTGAAGTTTGAACACTCAAAATATGATAAATTATTCAAGAAATCTAAGCTAGCCAGAAGGTTTTGTAAATGTAAGACAGAATAATTTATATAAAGTAAGTCCCATGGCATTCATCTCTATATGTCATGAAAATTTAAGGTTCCACCCGCAACTACAAATTTTGTTTTGTAAACTATTGGTGCTATATGTTCTTTTCATCTTATAAATTAATTCGAACAAGTGCCACTGTAAGGGTTATGCAGGTGAAAAAAGAACAAAGTTTAATGTGTATTTTACTACGTTTTCACACACCACAAGACCTTCCATATCATTAGTATTGAAGGAAATTGTCTTAATCTTTATACAACCGAGAGAGAACGAAAAATATATAAATAAAACTATAAAAAATACCAGGGAAAAATAGGAAATTACTCTGATCTTCTGTTTCAGAAAGGACTCAATTATGTCGAGTCTCATTTGTTATAAACAACTCGTGTTTATGTATACACTCTTTTTTTGTATCAGTTATAAATCTATTGCTAAATGTCAGATAGAAAGGTACAAACCACCTTCAAGGCAGAAGACATAACAAGTATGATATCTCTCCCAATGATATGAAGACGATAAAAATAACACAATACAGTGAACAATACCAGCAAGAGCAACCACATAAACAGCAGCTCAAGTAGAATAAAACATGCCAATTCACAGATCAGAGAGGAGCCTTGATAGAGAATATTTAGAGAATATACACCGAATATTCTCATCATATGTTTGAAATATATTGTTGTGTAAATATTATTTTATTATGTAAGGTTTCCTACATATTTTGGACTGATACTTTGTAATCCTGCATATATTGATCAATGGAATACTCTCCAGGTAAAGGATATTTACACAATTCAACAACCCTAATACTCAGCAACTACTCAAGAATTGTAAAGTCCACCACTTTTGTGGAAACAAATTAATTCTCCTGAACACCTCATCATATTGTATTTGCCTAAGAAATTACACACTTATAAGTACGTACACCTTATATCGAATACTTTGAATGTTCACATTTCACAAGCATAACATTGTTCACAGTAGACCTCATATAATTGACTAATTGACTATCTTTGAACAAGCAAAAGTTCAAATCAAGGAATCTATTATGTTACAGAGCTCAGATTGAATAAGCTTGAACACACACAAGCACAAATCAAGGAATCAATTATGTAAGTAATGTAACAGACATCAAATTGAATATGCAACGCACACCATCACAATATAAAGGATCAAATTCTTAGTAGGTATGCCTTAAAAGGGGTTGGCAAAGCAACTGCCCATACATACAAACAGTCAAACAAAAAAATCAATACTTTGGTTGCAATATTATCAGTTGGATAGCAAATGATCAACAACCAAATTCAGCCAACAAACAAAAATGACAAACTCAAAGAAGATTAGTCAATATCTCCTTGTACTTTCTTGTTCTTGGGTAAGAAAAATGAGTGCCTAACATTTTGTATTTTTGTTTATGTTGAATTTCCATTGGAAAGAAAAATCAAATTACGCAAAGCAGGGCAGCACACAAAAATCTCTAACATATGATAATCTTGCATTCATCAATCTTTCTGTGAAGTAAACAAAAGTACGATTGGGTACAAAAAGTGACAGAATTTTCAAGCACATAACAAGATTAAGATATCATGATCAACAGAAGACGGAGGGAAATAGAACAAGGGAGTTGAAGAATTTTCTCCTAATTAGTCACAATGAAATTTTTTCTATACTCTACAAACGTAACTTAATCAAACTTAAGAAATGAAGAAAAAAAAATGATAATTTGACCACTGCACAAAATGGATAATATACATGAGTTACTAGATAACCATTGCAAGTTCTCCAACTATAAAATAAGGTTAAAAGTTGCACGAATCTGAATTTCATAGTCATTTGTCAATTGTCACACAAAACTATTGTTCTTTACTTTTATTTATTTATATATATATTTTTTTAGTGAAACTATTGTTCTACACTTCTAAGTCATTTGTTACAAGTGACAACTTTTATACTTCCGCCGTTCCAATAGTACTGCAATAATGAGATTTTTGCATTATTCATCACTTTTATTTGACTATATAATATGATTTATACGTTAAATAAAATATAGTTACGTGGGATCTTGTTAGATTAATCTCATAAAATACTTTCACTATATCAAATTTTTATAATTTTTACACTTGTACAATTATAGATATTTAACATATAAAATGTGCATTGGGATTGGGATGCGCAATTTCATCCTTCTAACAATATTATTGAAACAGAGAAAGTACAAATTTGACAAAGGGGTGTTAAGTTTTATACCAATATGACAAACTATTCAGACTAAAATGAAAACGGATCCATAAGCAATTCTTAGACAGTAAAATATAGTAAAGGTAATCCAGAATCATGAAACCCAGAAAGATTTTGGATCAAAAGTAATACTTCGTATGATTTCAATTTGATACAGTATAATAATTGTGAATAAACATAGCAACGCTAGAATCAAAATTAAATAAAAACAAATTGAAAGAAGAAAAACCCTTATGATCGTAGCAATTGATCAGAACAACTAGTTGATGGGTGGAATTTATACCTCGATTCAAAATTCTGGTAACATAGATAGAGGGGCGGGCGCTGATGAGTCCACCGACTAAGCCAAATATTGAAGCAAGAAGTTGAAGCTAATTTGTATCCACTAATTAAGAAATTTTATTACACGTCTCTTGTGTTTTTCCGAATTTTAAGATATTGAATTATTGAGCTACTATTTACTTTTAAGCTATAAGCATTATTTTGATTTTACCATTCAAACATATGCTCCAAGACAAAGAATTAGATCACTATTTAACATTTTTTGTAAAAAAACATATTGAACTTAACTTTTTAAATAATCTTCGGACCATAAACTTTCTCTTTTTAGATTTTAGGGGCCATTTTGGTCCTACAACTCTAATTTAAGATCAAAATTAAAAAAAAAATGATTGGCAATGCTTTGTTTTGCATACTAAGTACGCAAAACGAGGCATTTTTGATATTTTAATGTCAATTTTGATCTCAAATCATTTCACCAAAGTGACCTCAAAAACCTTAATATAACAATTTTCGATACAAAAGATGATGATTTTTGTAAAAAAAAAATGAAAATTAATGTTTTTTTTTTTTTTTTTTCCAGAAAGTGTTATGTGGTGGTGAAATCCTAATATTTTCTTTTCTTTTATTTTTGTTGTATTTTAAAATTAAAATTAAAATGGGTGCTTAATTTAAAACCCTCCACATATTTGGTGTGTTGGTGTTGTTGTACGGAATTGATGGAATGGTGTATTGCACTGATATTATCACAATAAACAAAAGTAATCTAACAAAGAGGACCGGGCAATGTAACTCAAGTAGCAGGTTAAGATATAATAGAAGCCAACATGCATCATATACAACATTTGCAACACCTTCATATTCTGCCTTTGCATCAAATTTTTATAAGGTCAGTTGCTATTTGGGGGACTAAAAATTATATTATCGCCTAGAAAACAAAATTGTCGTGAAATCGAACAATATATGCATGTCTAGACAACTACCCCAATCAACATCGGTATAGATGATTAATCATGTAGAAATAGTCTTTTATTAATATATACTTATGATCATTGGTACACCAAATGAACTTCAGATTATGTTTTAATGCATGATAATGTGCCTCCTTAGGATCATGCATGCATAAATAGACATACCTATGTTGTATCGCGTATTCAATACTTCCTCCATTTTTAAATACTTATTTCACTTTTTATTTTCGATCGTTTTTAAATACTTGCTCATTGGTACACTAAATGAACTGCAGATTACGTTGTAATGCATGATAATGTGCCTCCTTAGGATCATGCATGCATAAATAGACATACTTATGTTGTATCGCGTATTCAATACTCCCTCCGTTTATAAATACTTGTTTCACTTTTTATTTTCGATCGTTTTTAAATACTTGTTCAATTTCTTTATTTGGAAAACTTTTATAATAAATAATTTATTTCTCTCAACTAGTGGACCCAACATAAATCATATTTTATTAATTTTATATTCTCTCGCCTTCAATTCACTCAACTACTTTTGCTTTTTACAATTTTTTATTCTTCCACCTACCCTACTACTTCCGTATTTTATTACTTTCTCTAATTTCACCTAAAACACCGCGCATGAAGAAATAGAGCAAGTATTAAAAAACAGAGAGATTATCAAATTATCAAGACAAGTAAAAGTGAGGTAGTATACTAATAAGCACCCTTTAAGTTGCAATACATAGTGGGGTAGGAAGTAGGAGGACCCAAAGATTCACAAAATTTGAGCTAATTAGTATCCCAAAGGAGTAGCAGCAGGTTTAAAAGAGCTCAAAGCCTCAGACCTACACGTTTTAAAAATTTGTATGCATATTTTTGCTGAGATAAAAGCATATAAGGAAATATGAAAATAACTAAAAGCCCCATAAGCTGACATAGGAAACTGAACTTTGAGTCGAGTGCTCATCCTCTCACAGTCTCACGTAACCTATTAATGGAAGTGGGAGCAAGTACGTCATATCATTACCGTGAAACCGAGAGGTTGTTAGATGTAAAATGTCTCTTTTTTCAGTACACCACGAGAGAAGACACTTTTAACATCTAGACATCTAGTTGATGCTTTTGAGCCATACCATAGTCAAAACAATACAAATAGTAGCCGATTTTACAATTGGACTAAATTTACCATCACAATCAACACTATCTTACTATGAACTGCCTTCACAAACAATACTTTCATCATTTATTTAAAGCATTATTATACTTTGATTGTCACACAATTTTTAATATAATACCATGTGAGTGATTAGTTGAGGCATAAAAAAATTATACTACGTAAAAAAAACATATCGATGTCTATTATTTATTGAAAAATAAATTATATGAATTATTATATACAAAGAAATAATAATTGTTCACTTTTTGTGAGAGTTTTTGGGTCAATGATGCAAAAAGTAAGGGGTGGAGCGAGTCGTAGTTTGGTGGTGTTCGGTATGGTGCATGGGGTGATGAGGGTGATATGCGTGGGCTCAAGGAGCTGCCACTTGTAAGAAGGATGGGCTGGAGTTTTATTGGGCCGGAGATTGGGGGAGTTGGAGTTGTTCTAGCAAAGGGAAGTGGGCCAGCAAGAGTTGCTCTTAAGTACTGAAGTTGGGCTAAAACAGGTGATGGATCGTCACTTTCTAAAAAATTAGAAAAAATTGCTCAGAATAATCTAAACTTTGCCTTATTGGCCCAAAATAATCCAAACTTTTGATTTTTTTTTTTAATAATTCGAACTTTAATGTGAATCTGCTTCAATGGTCCCAAGTGACCGGCAACTTGTTGATTAGGTAATTTTTTTTAAAAGTTTAATTTACACGTGTCACCCCATTATTGGTCAAAAATCAGTTTTAGTTTTAATTTTCTTAAGAAATATTTATCAGTTACTAATTAATTAATATTTATTAGTTACTAATTAAATAATAATAATAAAAAAAAGGGTGTTGTTAAACGTCGTTCGCATTTTACTAGGTGACGTTCACATTTTTTATATGAATTTCCTAAATTGCCCTCCGTATATAAATACTCGATAAAGTAAGTTAGGGATTTACGAGACATTTCCCATCTCACAAAATCACTCTTTGACACATTCTCTCTCTAAAACCTTCCAAAAAATCAGAAATTTTGAAAAAAAAAAAAAATCAGAAATTTTTTTTTAAAAAAAAAACCAAAATAGTTGAAGGCTACTCAAACACAAGCAAATCTTGCAATCAAACGTTGAATCCGACAATGGCAGACCGACGGAGAATTAGGCTGACGTTTGGTGGTCGTGGTGGCGGCGTTAGCGGCGGCGAGCCGGTGAGTTTTTTTTTTGTTTTAAATTTTTGAATTTTGAAAAAAAAAATTCTGGACAAGGGGACTTCCGCCCAGAAATTCCGGAAGTCCGGGGGAACTTCCGGAAATTTCAGGCGGAAGTGGGGTTTCCGCCTGAAATTTCCGGAAGTTCCCCTGGACTTCCGGATTTTCTGGGCGGAAGTCCAGTTTCCAGGTTTTTTTTTTTTTTTTTTTTTTTTATTTTTCTGTTATTCCCCCTTTTTTCCTGTTTTTCCCTTTTTTTTTTTTGGTTTTTGTGTTTTTCTGTTTTTCCACCTTTTTTTTTTGTTTTCTGTTTTTCCTTTGTTTTTTAATTTATGTTTTTTTTTTGTCCTCGATTTTGTTGATTTGGTGCATGTTTTAATTTGAAAATATTTGTGTCCTTCATTTTTTTTTTTGAAGTAATTTGTGTCCTTCATTTGTGGCATTAAAATAATTTTTTTCTTGATTTAGTTTTGCAATAGTTATTGATATGTAATTTTTGTTATTTAGTTTTACAATAATTATAGTTTTACAATAATTATAGTTTTACAATAATTATAGTTTAGCATTAAAGTAAGTTTGTTGTTGCTATGTATTGTTATTGTTATGTAAATTTGGTTTGGTTTGTATTGGTTTTTGCTGCTGTTGTTGTTATGTATTATGGTTGTTTACTTAAATTGTTGTTATTGTTATTGTAACTGTTTTTTTTATTGGGTTGTCGTTGTTGCGTTTAAATTTTGGCAGTTTTGTGGTTAATTATAGTTTTGATTTGGTCTGTTATTGTGTTGAAATTATTTGTAGTGTGTTAGTGTGTTGTTATTGTTAGTAGTGTATTAGTATTGTAAGAATAATATTATTGTTATTATTTGTAATGTTGTTATTATTGTTTATTTGATTTGATTTATTATAGTTTTGATTTGATTTTTTTGACTATGAATTATTATTGAAATATGATTCTGTACTTATTTTTTTAATGCAGATTGAGGGTTCTGGTCCTCGTCATGCAAGATCAAGACGTTTGAATGCGTCTGTTAGGAGGGAGTTATGTGGTGCAGGACCTTCACATGCACCGTTTCAGCATGAGCAGCAGTATGGGACTGCTGGTGCTTGGTCGGGGAGCACCAGTCACAGGGGAGCGCCCCCATGTATTCGTTTACTGGAGTGCCTTCATCAGTTGAGGATGAGGATGAAGATCGAGGAAGTCAATCTGCTGGAGATGCACAGTACGACCCTCAGGATTACCGTACTGTGTATAGGGGTGACCATGGGAGATATGTTAGCAGTAGTGAACCAGGTCAAGCTTCTACCAGCTCGTCAGAGTCATGGGTGGTGCAGGAGCCGATGCCAGGTGGGCCTGAGGATGGTACCGTTATTCCGAGTTTTGGGGGTCACGTATCTGCCTACATATGGGGTGGGCAGGAGCGAAACGTGCTGCGGTGTTTGAGAAGGACACATTTGTGTTCTGAATTGGGTAACTGGCGCGCTCGTCTTCCGCCGGAGCACCTGGAACCGATTGATGGCACTGGTCTATCTCATTTACCCGGGATCATGTTCCGGCGATTTGTTTGGCCCTTAATTTCTGCTTTTGTTGAGAGATGGCAGCCAGACACGAACACGTTTCACATGCCTTTTGGGGAGATCACGATCATGCAGCATGATGTGTATTATATTCTAGGGCTTCGTGTCGACGGTTCCATGGTTTCCACTACTCCTAGCACGGACGTTTTACGGGACGCGTGCTCGGTTACCTTGGATATGACTGAGGAAGAGCTGAATGAGAAGTGCGGTACCAAAACCGTATGGCAGGGTAGTGGGGTCCTGACTGAGAGGATAGTGGAGTCGACCTTGGAGGCGCAGAGGCCCTTCAGTTTCCATTACAGGGCGTACCTGTGGTTAGTACTCGGCGTTTGTTTGTTTTTGGACAAGAGTGGAAACCGTACTCATCCTTCCTTCCTCAACGAGCTGTTTGTTGAGGATGTTCAGATTAGTGAGTACTCCTGGGGTTCTGCTGTGCTAGCATACATGTACCGGCAATTGGGTACAGCATCACGAAGAGATGCTGATTCTATCGCTGGCTGCCTTACGCTTCTGCAGGCGTGGATCTACGAGTACTTTCCGTGTTTCCGGCCTCAGCAGGGGACCTTGACTAAAGAGCTTGCTATTCCTCGTGCGTCCGCCTGGGATGTTGGATCGGGGTGCCCTAACAAGAGCATGGAGCGCCTTTTCTCTTTTCGGGCTAGGTTGGATCATTTGACTGACAATGAAGTTAACTGGCTACCGTACGGAGTTGATCCAGCACGACGCGTGCCTGCTACTCTTTTCATTGGCTGCATCCAGTATCGTAGCATCATTGAGCCATACATGCCTGATCGAGTGGTTCGGCAACTTGGATACGTCCAGGGCATTCCACCAGCCATTATCAGGCTTGAGAAGGCTAAGAGACCGACGAACTTGAAGATGTATCGGGTTGACTTTCCGCCAGAGATGACATCTGTGATGTGGACTTGGTTTGTCCCTGGTATGTCTTTTAGTGTCGTGGTAGGTGCCCTCAGCAGACTTGGTGGTGGTGCTCCTACAGTCGGTCCTGGTTACATGCAGTGGTTGTACCTATTTTCTCATCCACGTGTTTCTCCAGTTGCGTCATCACATGAGAGTCGCACACTGCCAGAGAGAACTAACACGGATTACGTAAGTAGTTGTATTTTTTGGTATAATTTAATAAGTTGCTATTTTAATATGTTGTTTATAATATGTTGTTTTTAAAATCCGATTTTTTTAATATGTTGTTTTTAATATGTTGTTTTTTTTTAAAAAAACTTGTGATTTATTTAATATGTTGTTTTTTTAATTGAAGTGGATGGGTCGGTCTATGGAGGTCATCAACAGGACCCTGGAGGAGTATCCGAGCCTATCGCGTGATACAAGAGCAATGGCTGAGGCGCTACGAGCTGATTGGAGGGCGATGATGGGGTTGTGAACTTCCTGTTTTTTTTATTTCCCTTGTACACATTTCGTTTATGTACTATTTATTCGTCACGTACTTTAAGTATTGAACAACTGTTTTGGTGGTTTTGTAAATATTTTGTTTAATTAAGTTCAATTCGTTGCAAATTACATAACGACAAATGTTTAACATAAATGAAAGTACAACAACATGTTCACTATCTAATTAAGGCATCCCACATGTTCCTTCTAGCTTCGTAACGCTGATCCCAACCGTCAACACTTGGGTCGTGGTGCTCGGTCCACCAACCTGCAACCGGGGGAAGTGGCGAATCAGGTGCAAGTTCAATACAAATAAAATGTGAGGCCCCAACTGTAGCGATGAAAAACTCTCGCTCCGGTGCTGTGACCCCCCTTCTTGCCTGCAACGGCAATATTGTGAGGCATGGGTAGTAGCAAGTTGGTGTTTGGCCTACACCAAGAATAATAACCGCTGCGTTGAACCAAGTCGCAATAGAAAATAAATCTTGTATTGCAACCATCCAATGACGGGAATCAACCGCCCCACCGTCCCATCGAATACGCTGCACATTGATCTCAAGTCTTCCAAGCCCATAAATCCTCTCATATAGGGCTCGATAACCGAGGACCTCATTCGCTATTGTCTCTCGAGCGTCATACCATCGGCCTTGATCACCAAAGAAGAACTCGGCCACACAACAAAACCCACAGTTCCCATCGCCAATGACATCCTTCCATCCTGTGATGTAAGGCAACATCGGCCCTGGAAGCATGTGTCGATAACGGCTTTGGCTAATGTCGTTTACATCTCCTGCACAAATGTAGGTTTCAGTTAATAGTTTAGTGAACGCTGATTTATGTGAAAAACACAACACTCAATCGTACCTGTTTGTCGTGCGCCGCGTTCAGTGTGTTGGCGGTTTACATGTTCAAAATAAGAACGATCACGTCTTGTATCATTGTTTCTTGGTCGACCATGAACCCGGTGGTTTACAGCAGGCTCTCTGAGATCGGAATGATCCGGATGCAGCTCCTCTTCAATGATGCGAGACACGTTTCAAAGAACAGCAGGATCACTATCAAACACCTCCTCCATCAGAGAACGAAAATGTGCGGCATCCTCGGTCGAGTCATTGCCAGGCATCGTCCCACCATCTTCAGAACCAATAACCAAGCCTCCAAAACGGGTGAATTTGCCTTATGTACAATCCTGTCCCAGCAGCTAGCGAATCATGTATCTGGCATGCAAAGGGCAACCCGTGGGTCACACGCATTGCACATCCACATCGTTCGTGCACTTGATAACTCATCCCCCTCATCCTCCTTGTCTCCTCATCGAGAACCTTCAAACAATGCTGAGACACCTTCCCGTTTATACGTGACAGTGGCAACTGTCGGTACTTTTGACCTATCTTCGACCTAGAAGCCTCCAAACCATTACGAATTGCAATGATTTGATTACCAATGTGGCTATGAACTCGAGCCCATACGGTATCTAAAGAACCTGCACATTACAAAGAAAAACCGTTATGATTTGTAACTCAAATTCCTAAAATAAAGTACATACATGAAGTTCAATAATCTTACACCAAACCTGTCGAGGAATCAAACCACATCTTCACGGCCGAATGTTGGCTCTCAACTCTGCAAGTGCTGGTGTTGCCATAATGTAGAACTTGGTTTGTCCAAAATGTCACGAACTTCGTTTTATGACAAAGCCATGTGTTCTCTACATATTGTATCACTGTTGGAAAACTTGCCCACTTATCTTTCATGTTTTCTACAGCGGCCTCATAATCTTCCTCGGTTGCAGCGTCCATGATACGTTTCCATTTTCCGTTTTTGAAAGACGCACCGATTTTCTTGCTTTTGAACATAGCAGTGACCCAAGCCTCCAATCACATTTTAGGTGAAAATGAATGAAATTGTTGAATTACTTGCCCATTTTTCTTATATTCTTTTAATTGAATAAAGTAACTTGCATCACCATTTTCTATGTTTATTTGTATTATAATTCAGCAATTTATATATGATTATAAGTTTACCTTACAATTCAGCAGCTAATAACGTGTTATGTTTGTAATGACAGGTTTTAACATCTAATGGCGGACGATCGATTCCGTGTTTGAGTTGAGGATGTTGAATCTAACTCAAATGATTCATCTAATGATGGGGACCAGCCGTATGATGTGAACAAGGAAACTGATTTGGGTGAGCCAGAAGATCAGGCGCAAGATGTATTGGAGAGAATGATAGATGACTTTGAAATTGCAGCTGAGCAAGCGCCTCCAATCGATAATGCCATTATGGAGCCGTTTCGTGAAGATCAAAGTGGAGGGGGGGGGGGGGTGCAGGCACCAGCGAAGAAAAAGCAGAGGGGTCCGACGGCAGCTTTCAAGAAACCTGTCGGTCCTATGGTCTTGGAGTATGACAGGGTAGGGCAACTCTCAGGTAAATGGCGTCGTCAGTATGCTGGTCAAGTTGGGATTTGTGCGCGCAAAATCCCCATTACGCTTCGTATGAGCGACGTACCTACAGGCTTGATTGACACGTTTTGGAATGATACCAGGGTAAGTTTGATTTGATGTGGTTATTTATAAACAATTTCAATTTATTGTTATGTTATTGGCAAACTAATAATGTTTGTTATTTGTGCTTGCAAAGTCTATTTAACATTCCAAATGAGTACGCCAAGCGAAGGGTGTTTGAATCCTTACTTGCGGCAAGATTCAGAAGCTTCAAGTGTAACTTAGTTCGTCGGTTTATCACAAAGAAACTTGTGAGGAAACCAAAGAAAAAGAAAGGAGGTGGCAGTGATGATGATGTCATCGATGAAGAGAAACTCCCTTGGCAAATATGGCCTAGCATATCGAAGGATGATTGGGAGGCTTTCGTTCATAAAAAATGTAAAAAAGAAGAAATTGTAAGTTTAAAGAACTCTGATGAAAATTGTGTTGTAATTTATCGTCTTTTTTATTAGTAATGAAACTAACATATATATCTTTTTATGTAGGAAATGAGGGAGAAGAATTCCAGGAATGCATTGCAAAAGCAATACCACCATCATATGGGAGCAATGACGTATGATGAATGGAGGGATACGTGGGTGAGTGAAGGAGTATACCCCACTGCGCTTCTAGGGTCCTCCACAGCGCCGTCTGACTCCACGACCAGTACTTTGGTGAGTCGTGCTGGGGATTTCTTTTGCTCTATGCATTCGCGGGACAAGAAGACCGGAAAATGGTCCATCAAGGCTCCGGAAACCAAAGAAATAACAGATAAGCTAGTAAGCAACTATGAACTAGTGAACTACTTTATTCATTTGCATGTATATCACTTTATATAAACACTTACTTCATGTTGCCATTTTGTTTTTGCTACAGCTTGAGTACACTGGAGAGCTTGTTGAAGGCAAGCTCGTCCCGACGGTAGAGAAGGATCCCTTCACCTTGACTATGGGAAAGCCCTACCATCCGGGACGGGTATTAGGTGCTGGGGGGAGCTTGCTAGGATGGGAGAAGGTAATGGGTCCCGAATATACCAAATCTGGAAGATCCCGAGCAAGTGTGAACTCGCCATAGTTATT